TAGGGAAAGCTGCAAAGCATCCTGAAAACCAGCCTAGAAGACAGGAGATGCTGGTCTCCAGCCCTTCCAACAAAGATCCATTTTTAAAAATCTTTTTCATGCCTGAGAACTTGCATGAAGGAGTCTGAACCATTGGAGGAGTAAACATCATGGAAAGGCACCAGTTTAACACTTGAGTACTTATAGTGCAGCTAAGGTGGAATTTAAAGTCACATCTGGATAAGGAGAAAAAAAGAAGAAAAAAAAAAGAAGTCAGATAAGAGCACTAGAGAAGACTCAACCATAGTGCCTAGCTGTTAGCCCACTGCCTCCACAGCTTTGGAATTATTAATTCATATACTTCTAGACAGTACCCAGCCATCATCTAGAAAAAGGTATATTCCAAGCACTGCACCTAGTCAGCAGTTTCAATGTGGCCTTGCTGGGCTGTTTTTTTGAGAAAAAGGAAAAAAATATAAATGTCCACAGATGAGCTGTGCTCAACAAGCTGGTGGATCAAAGAACATCTCTCCACTCTTAATAGTACAGGTGTGATTTAAGTTCATACTTCTCAAAGGAGATCCCAAAAAACCTCTTCTTGGACATTTTAGACTTCCCAGGCATTACAGCTTTTTCACAGAAATCTTCCTTTCATGCCTAAAGACATGCTACCCTAGAGGCAGTACAGAAGTTTAAAAACAGATCTTGTATTTGTACATAACACTCACTGCTCAGAAGCTTTTGTATGAGTCCAATGGGTGATCCAATTGAGTAGATCCAGAGTACTCCACCTTTGTTTCAATGGTAGTGAAATGTGATTTTCTTAGATTAAATTTTAGCAGCACATTATTTGAAACTGAAATGAATTGAAATGAATTGAAATTTATTGACATTTTCCTAATAGCAAAGCAGATATGATGGCCTTTGATCTGCCAGAATTCCTTCTTATACCCTAGGAATTCCCTGGGAATTCCACTCTACCTCCTAGCAGATGCTGATTTTCAGAGTCTTGAAACATGCGCTATGTAGCAAGGCCTGAAACTATCAACAACAATACATATTGACTTGCATTTTTGAGTATGGTATGCACTTTACAAACTATTCTTTGATAAGAGGCTATTTTTCCTTTTTTAAAGGATATAATTGGCTAACCCCATAGATTTATAAACACAATAAATGCTCCTGTTAAAAAAGATGGCATATAGAACATTTTCAAGTATTTTTCTATGTAATTTTCAGTGTTTCAACTGAAAATTAGTATTACTCATCTGAATGGAGAAAATATGTAAGTCTTTAATGTCTTGCAAATGGTGGAAATTTCTTTGTCTTATTGAAATAAAAAATATTTTGGATTTGAACATTCTGAGGACAATTTTCATTTCCTTTCTTTCTGCTTTTCCAGTAATTAAGCATTGTTTGTGGTTGGCTTTCCCTGCCTTTCATTTCATATCTGTTCTGAATTGCATATCAATTGCTGAACTGAATTGATCCCTAGGTATCTGTGAAAAATAAAGATATTATTTGTTCCAAGATATTATTGCTCCACATCAAAATAAGTAAAAAAAGAAACAAACAAAAAAAAAGTAAACACCAAAACCCAGCAAAACAAAGCTCTAGAAACCAAACCAAACAAAAAAAATCACAAACAAACAAACAACCAAACCAAACCAAAATCTTGAACTATCACATCTTGTAAAGAAACTGTTACCTACTACTTATCATGCAAAAAAGATCACATCTAAACATCAACAGGTCACCTGTGTGTATGGGAAAAGGCCAACCTGCCTTAAAAAAGTCCAGGAAAATGTCCACAACTGAGCAAAGTGCCTCTTTATTAGGTTTCCAAGACCCATCCCTTTTTTCTAAAGTCTGAAGCTTAAAATGCTGTATTACAAGTTGATATGACTTTTTCTGAGCAGGAAAATTAAGAAGAAGTAGAAGCCAATGAAAAATTCATAAATGCACGCTTTGCTTCACTGTTTTCCCTTGTCTTCCATGTGTTTTCTGTTTTCTATTTCAGGATGGTATGTCTTCACTCCAATTCTAAATGATATTATACCACTGTATTCTGACTGCTTCTTTCATTCTGCTCTCTGCACTTATACT